AAATTCAGATTCAGGAAGGATATAGGAAAGTACTGGTTTGGTAATAGAGTTGTGGATGAGTGGAACAAACTGCCGAGTACAGTTATAGAGGCCAGAACGTTGTGTAGCTTTAAAAATAGTTTGGATAAATACATGAGTGAATGTGGGTGGGTGTGAGTTGGACCTGATAGCTTGTGCTACCAGGTCGGTTGCCGTGTTCCTCCCTTAAGTCAATGTGACCTGACCTGACTAGGTTGGGTGCATTGGCTTAAGCCGGTAGGAGACTTGGACCTGCCTCGCATGGGCCAGTAGGCCTTCTGCAGTGTTCCTTCGTTCTTATGTTCTTATGTTCTTATTAACCTCATTTTTCATAAATCCATCTGCCGATAGGTCAACTCCCAAGTAGTATCTGAAAACACTCACTTCTTCCATACTCCTCCTCCCCAATTTGATATCCAATTTTTCTCTATCTAAATCATTTGATACCCTCATCACCTTACTCTTTTCTATGTTCAATTTCAACTTGCTACCTTTACACATACTCCCAAACTCATCCACTAACCTTTGCAATTTTTCTTTAGAATCTCCCATGAGCACAGTATCATCAGCAAAAAGCAATTGTATCAATTCCCATTTTGTATTTGATTCCCCATAATTTAATCCCACCCCTCTCCCGAACACCCTAGCATTTACTTCTTTTACAACCCCATCTATAAATATATTAAACAACAATGGTGATATTACACATCCCTGTCTAAGACCTACTTTTACTGGGAAGTAGTCTCCCTCTCTTCTACACACCCTAACCTGAGCCTCACTATCCTCATAAAAACTCTTTAGAGCATTTAGTAACTTACCACCTATTCCATATACTTGCAACATCTGCCACATTGCTCCCCTATCCACTCTGTCATATCTTCTTCTTTCAACACATCGGCCGTATCCCACCGAGACGGGGTGGCCCAAAAGGAAAAACGAAAGTTTCTCCTTTTACATTTAGTAATATATACAGGAGAAGAGGTTACTAGCCCCTTGCTCTCGGCATTTTAGTCGCCTCTTACAACACGCATGGCTTACGGAGGAAGAATTCTTTTCCACTTCCCCATGGAGATAAGAGGAAATAAACAAGAATAAGAACTAGAAAGAAAATAGAAGAAAACCCAGAGGGGTGTGTATATATGTGCTTGTACATGTATGTGTAGTGTGACCTAAGTGTAAGTAGAAGTAGCAAGACATACCTGAAATCTTGCATGTTCATGAGACAGAAAAAAGGACACCAGCAATTCTACCATCATGTAAAACAATTACAGGCTTTCGTTTTACACTCACTTGGCAGGACGGTAGTACCTCCCTGGGTGGTTGCTGTCTACCAACCTACTACCTCGGCTCTGTCATATGCCTTTTCTAAATCCATAAATGCAATAAAAACTTCCCTACCTTTATCTAAATACTGTCCACATATATGCCTCAATGTAAACACGATCTACACATCCCCTACCTGCTCTGAAACCTCCTTGCTCATCCACAATTCTACATTCTGTCTTACCTCTAATTCTTTCAGTTATAACCCTTCTGTACACTTTTCCTGACATACTTAGTAAACTTATTCCTCTATAATTTTTACAATATAGGTAGTAGGTTGGTAGACAGCAACCGCCCAGGGAGGTACTTCCGTCCTGCCAAGTGAGTGTAAAACGAAAGCCTGTAATTGTTTTACATGATGGTAGGATTGCTGGTGTCCTTTTTTGTCTCATGAACATGCAAGATTTCAGGTACGTCTTGCTACTTCTTACACTTAGGTCACACTACACATGCATGTACAAGCACATATATACACACCCCTCTGGGTTTTCTTCTATTTTCTTTCTAGTTCTTATTCTTGTTTATCTCCTCTTATCTCCATGGGGAAGTGGAACATAATTCTTCCTCCGTAAGCCATGCGTGTTGTAAGAGGCGACTAAAATGTCAGGAGCAAGGGGCTAGTAACCTCTTCTCCTGTATATATTACTAAATGTAAAAGGAGAAACTTTCGTTTTTCCTTTTGGGCCACCCCGCCTCGGTGGGATACGGCCGGTGTGTTGAAAGAAAGAAGAAGAATTTTTACAATCTCTTTTGTTCCCCTTCCCTTTATATAAAGGGACTATACATGCTCTCTGCAAATCCCTAGGTACCTTCCCCTCTTTCATACATTTATTAAACAAAAATACCAACCACTCCAACACTATATCCTCCCCTGCTTTTAACATTTCTGTCATGATCCCATCAGTTCCAGCTGCTTTACCCCCTCTCATTCTACGTAATGCCTTGTGCACCTCCCCCCCACTCGCATCCTGTTCTTCTTCACTCCTAAAAGACGGATATACCTCCCTGGCCAGTGCATGAAATTACCGCTTCCCTTTCTTGGTCGACATTTAAAAGTTCCTCAAAATGTTCTCGCCATCTACCCAAAACCTCCATCTCCCCATCTACTAACTCCCCTACTCTGTTTTTAACTGACAAATCCATTAGTTCTCTAGGCTTTCTTAACTTGTTTAACTCACTCCAAAATTTTTTCTTATTTTCATTAAAATTTCTTGACAGTGCCTCTCCCACTCTATCATCTGCTCTCTTTTTTGTTTGCACTCTCTCACCACTCTTTACCTTTCTTTTGCTCTCCTTATACTCTACTCTTCTTATAACACTTCTGCTTTGTAAAAAAACTCTCATAAGCTAACTTTTTCTCTTTTATCACACCCTTTACTTCATTATTCCACCAATCACTCCTCATTCCTCCTGCACCCACTCTCCTATAACCACAAACTTCTGCCCCACATTCTGATACTGCATTTTTAAAACTATTCCAACCCTCTTCAACCCCCCACTACTCGTACTTGCACCAGCCCACCTTTCTGCCAATAATTGCTTATATCTCACCCAAACTTCCTCCTCCCTTAGTTTATACACTTTCACCTCCCTCTTGCTTGTTGTTGCCATTTTCCTCTTTTCCCATCTACCTCTTACTCTAACTGTAGCTTCAACTAAATAATGATCTGATATATCAGTTGCTCCTCTATAAGCGTGTACATCCTGGAGCCTACCCATCAACCTTTATCCACCAACACATAATCTAACAAACTACTTTCATTATGTGCTATATCATACCTTGTATATTTATTTATCCTCTTCATGAAATATGTATTAATACCAAACCTCTTTCTAAACATAGCTCAGTTAATGGCTCCCCGTTTTCATTTACCCCTGGCACCCCAAATTTGCCTACTACTCCCTCCACAACATTTTTGCCCACTTCAGCATTGAAATCCCCAACCACCATTACTCTCACACTTGGTTCAAAACACCCCATGCATTCACTCAACATTTCCCAAAAATTCTCTCTCCTCTACACTTCTCTCTTCTCCAGGTGCATATACGCTTACTATAACCCACTTTTCACATCCAGCCTTTATTTTCTCCACATAATCCTTGAATTAATACATTTGTAGTCCCTCTTTTCCTGCCATAACTTATCCTTCAACATTATTGCTACTCCTTCTTTAGCTCTAACTCTACTTGAAACCCCTGACCTAATCCCATTTATTCCTCTCCACTGAAACTCTCATACCCCCTTCTGCTTTGTTTCACTTAAATCCAAGACATCCAGCTTCTTCTCATTCATAACATCCACAATCATCTCTTTCTTATCATTTGCACAACATCCATGCACATTCAGACTTCCCACTTTGACAATTTTCTTCTTATTCTTTTTAGTAATTATTACAGGAAAAGGGGTTACTAGTCCATTGTTCCCGGCATTTTAGTTGACTTTTACAACACGCATGGCTTAAGGAGGAAAGATTCTTATTCCACTTCCCCATGGATATAAAAGGAAAAGTAATAAGACCAAGAACTATTAAGATAAAATCAAAGAAAACTCAGATGAGTGTGTATAAGTAAACATGTACATGTATGTGTAGTGTGACCTAAGTGTAAGTAGAAGTAGCAAGACGTACCTGTAATCTTGCATATTTATGAGGCAGACAAAAGACACCAGCAATCCTACCATCATGTAAAACAATTACAGGCTTTCGTTTCACACTCACTTGGCAGGACGGTAGTACCCCCCTGGGTGGTTGCTGTCTACCAACCTACTACCTATAAAATGTCTATAAAATATTTTATAGACCCATCTGGGTCTATAAAATATGTTTTGGAATAGGCATGTCTGCCGACATGCCTCATCTAAGAGCAACTATGTCAACTCACTTTGTATCAGATTCCTTTTCTCTTAATCCCACATTTCTCCCAACATCTTAGCATTCACTTCTTTTACAACTCTATCTATGAATATGTTAAACAATCATTGTGACAGTACACATTCTTGTTTAAGTTTGCTTTCACCTACCTCGTATTCCATACATTTGCTCTTTTTCCACATTGCTTTCCAGTCCATCCTATTATACCTTTTCTAAATCCATCAATGCATCTGTTCCTGACTGTTATCTAATTGTTGTACACTTACATGTTTCAATGAAATGCTTGTTTTACTCATCTTCTACCCTTCTTTAAATTCTGTGTTCCTCTGCACTCCTGCTTTGTCTTACCCTTAATTCTTTCAATAATTATTTTACCATATACTTTACCCAGTGTACTCAGCAGGCTTATTTCCCTATAATTCTTACACTCTTGTTCCATTTTCTTTTACACATTGGAGGTATGCATGCTCTCTGGCATTCCTTAAGTATTTTTTTCTTTTTCATGCATATTTTGAATAAATATTCCAGCAACTCAGAAACTCATCCCACCTGTTTTAATGTCTGTCTTAGTCCCACCTGTCCCAGCTAATTTATTCCCTATCATTCTACTTACTGCATCATGTAATCATCACATTCACTTCTGGCTCTTCCTTACTCCTATTGAGGTGTATGAGGTGTATTCCTCACTGGTTGTTGCATGAAATTATATATACACTACTTGTAATACTGTGTATTTGACTTGATATGACTATTTAAAATAAATTCTTAACATAAGTTCTTCCCAACCAGTTGTGTGCCCATAATGATGAGGGTACATCACCTTTCTCGGACATCACCTGCTATCCTACACTGCCAGATCGCCCAAAGCCACCTTCTGCCCCAACAGTAAAGGGCCGACCTAAGTCTACTAAATTGACTCTGGTCTGGTCTCCGCCATCTGATAATGGAGGATCTCGTATAACTGGTTATAGATTGGAAATTGATCGTGATAGTGGTAAGTATTTCATAATTTATTTTGTCCTTGCTTGAGGAATGCTTTAAATTCCATGCAATAGCACCTTGTATATCTGAAATTCTTTAAACTGAAAGCACCCAATAAATTGAAAATAATTTAGAATTGGCACACAAATATTACCTATTTGTAGCTTCAGGGGCAGAGCTAAGCTCATGGTGCCATCACTGTTGAGTGTGTGGTTAACTTTTTTAAAGTTTAAAATGGTTGTAGTCCTCCCTCCTTGTAGCCCATTCTATTGATACTAAAAAACTTTCTGGCAGCCTTTTGGCAGTTCTTTCTTAGTTTGTAGTTGTGGCCATTTGTTCTAGTTGGTGTTCGTGTTTCTTGTCAGTTGTTTTGTATCCATTTATAAACTTGAATGTGGTTATCATGTCTTCCCTTTTTCTCTATTAGCCAAAGATAGCATATCTTCCAGGCTCATAGCTCATTTCCATCTCTAGATGGTTCATAGCCTTGCTAGTTAGTGTTCCTCTAGCTGAACATGGTGGATCACTTCCTGCTTGTATCCTAGGTTCCAATGTACTTGAACCCTCATTTGGAAAATTCTTGGTGCCTTATTGTGCAAGCCATTTGTCATTTCTTCTAGAATCTGGACATGGAGGGCTTTGATCTGCCTAACTACCAGGACATACTATAAGGGTGCACATGTAAGTGTGAGCTTTAGTTATTTAGTACATTGTTACTTTGAGAGATATCATTGTTTACAAAAAGTTATTTTTTTTTAATGCACTGGCTATTTCCCACCAAGGTAGGGCAAGCCTAAAGAGAAGAAATACTTTCATCACTCAATCACTTTCTAGCCAGAGGCGTGCTGACATTACACCTCAGATGTCACTCCAAACTGCAATATCCCCATGCCATCCCTCAGAGTGCAGACTGTACTTCCCACCTCCAGAACTCTTGTGGCTAACTGGTTTTCCCTGAGTCCTTTCATAAATGTTAACTTGCTCACACTCCAACAGCACATCAAGTCATAAAAAACACTTGTCTCGACACTCACTCCTATCTAATATGCTTGCACATGCCTGTTGGAAGTTCAGATCCCTCGGAAAATAAATTTGAGGTAAAATGATTGTGGGTTGATCATTGATGCATTGGATAGATAAGAGTGGGCCAGATCTACTGCATAGAGATACATAATAGTTATTGGGACAGCAGTAGAGGTAGTGTTTTTTAATTGCTAATATGCATTGAGATTTATTGCTGCAATAGGAGTGTATAAAATTGTAGGAGTGATCATCCACTGATCACCAGAATTAAGGACTGTAGTTGATTTTTAAATTCTCTATTTTTGTAACAAGTTTTATCAAATGGTGAGTAGATTGCATCTTAACTGTTTATCATAGCCTTGTTTGTACTTTCTTGTTTGAGGTTAAACTGGCTGAGGCTATGTACTGTTCAGCTTTGAAATAGATTTTCTGTAACTTGTCATTGCGTGGGATAGCTTGGCTTATTTCTTATCAATAAATGTCACGCCTTCCCTTTCATTCTCTTCTGGAACCCCAAGCATGCTTTTCACTACTTTTATCCTATCACATAATCTTCTTAGTCAGTTGCATCTCTTGCTTCCATTTGGATTCCACACACCTAGTATTCAGTCATTGTGATTTTAGCTTAAAATTGTACATTTTATAGGATTTGAGTGCATATATACTGGAGAAGGCACCGAGACTGACTGTACAGAGCTGAGCCCGGGTAAAAGTTACCGCGTCAGAGTATTATGTGAGAGCTTAGGAGGAATAAGTGATTGGAGTGAAGTTGCCAGTGTGAGCACAGAGGCTGTGTGTCCAGGTATTTGCCAACCTCCTCGGTTACTTGGCAAACCAAAGGCATCCTTACTGCAACTCAAGTGGGGTAAGCATGTAAAATACTCTTAGAGTAAGTATAGTAAGTGTATTATACTCTAGACAGCATTGGGTTTGTGGCTAAGTTGTTAATTACAATATTTACTTGATAATCTTGGGCAACTGAAGCATTGAAATTTAAAACTTCAGGATTTAATTTAGCTATAACTCGTATTGATTTAATGTGGTGTACTCTAATATTTATTAAAGTTCTTTATTATGTGTCAAGTTTTCTGTAATATGAAGGAAAATGAACTTAAAATTTTGGAATCATTCTTCATACTTCAATGCACTGTCTATTGTATACTATTATTAAATACAACAGGCAATCCAGAATTTGATGGTGGAGCACCAGTGACTGAGTTCCGCATTGATATGACGTCTCCAAACAATGAGAGGAGACAAGTATATTGTGGGCGAGATCTTGAGTGCACAGTTGCCAGGTGAGTAATCATGTAGTCTTTCCTCATTTAGCGATTTACTCATTTACCGACACCTCAGACTTACGACAGGCTCTCTGACCAGTACATATTTATACCTAAATAATAATAATTTTTTTTTTTTTTTGTTAACGCATCGGCCATTTCCCACTGAGGCATAATATATATTAGAGCTAATTTCCTTTATTCTGTTTATTTCAATATACAGTACACTACTGTATACACATTTAAAAATATACCAGATGTGTTATAAATGGTTCAAAGGTGATATTTTTTTAATATCAAAGATGGTTGACACAAACCCACTACCATTATAGTATGCTTCTCACTTAGCGACAAATTCGTTTTACAATGTGGTCTTAGGAACGGAACTGTCGTTAAGTGAGGAGAGGCTGTATTTAACTTTGTTGGAAAGACTTTTGACTCTCAGATACAAGCATACAAAGATTTATGTAAATGTCTACATAATCGGGTGCCTGTGACTACCTATTTGTAGATACAGAATGAGAGCTCAGCTTATGGTGTCAAGTGTCTGTTATTAAGTCTTGTACAGTTTTGTAAATCCTGTAGTGATCTGTAGAACTTGCTGTTTCCTCTTGAAACTCATTCCACTGCTTTAACACACGGGTTACATATAAAATTTTGATAATAGTTAACCCTTAAATGGTCCAAACATATATACAGTGGACCCCCGCATAATGATCACCTCCGAGTGCGGCCAATTATGTAAGTGTATTTATGTAAGTGCGTTTGTACGTGTATGTTTGGGGGTCTGAAATGGACTAATCTACTTCACAATATTCCTTATGGGAACAAATTCGTTCAGTACTGGCACCTGAACATACTTCTGGAGTGAAAAAATATCGTTAACCGGGGGTCCACTGTATGTTTTTTCAACACCTGAAAGTATGTAAAAAAATGTAGATCTTCTTTTTTGTTTTACATTTGAAAACTTGTAAAAAACTTTTATCTACATTTTTTTTGTTATATTTGAAAATATGTAAAAAAAAGTAATCTACTTTTGTAGCACTACGAATTGAACGTCAATCTCTTTCGACCGTTTAAGGGTTAAGTAGCTTTATATATATATATATATATATATATATACAGTGGTCCCTCAATAATCGTCCGGTCTGAAAGTCATCCATTTCGGAAATAGTCCTGTTTTTTCGTCAAAATATTGGCTCGCAAATGGTCCGGTAACTCGCTAATAGTCCTTTGTCCCGGACGCGTACTCACGCTCTGAGCCGCCTCGGCCTTTCCTTCCCAGCCAGTGTGCCATTGTTTACCAGTGAGCGACGGTCCCCTCACGTGCTCCAGCAAAATATTTCATAATATTCCATTTATTTTAGTGCTTGCAAGTTATTTAAGTGCTAAATAAGCTACCATGGCTCCAAAGAAAGCTCCTAGTGCCAAGCCTTTGGTAAAGAAGGTGAGAAGTACGACTGAATTTAAGAAAAACATTATTGAACAATATGATAGTGGCGTACGTGTGGACGAACTGGCCAGGATGTATAACAAATCCCGTACAACCATGTCTTCCATCATAGCCAAGAAAAAGGAAATCAAGGATGCTGTTGTTGCAAAGGGAGTAAATATGCTGACAAAAATGAGATCACCAGTACTTGAAGATGTGAGAAGTTATTATTGGTGTGGATAAATGAGAAACAATTAGCAGGAGATAGTCTTATGACGTTGCTTATTTGCGAAGAGGCTAGGCAGTTGCATGACGATTTGGTAAAGAAACTGCCTGCAACTAGTGGTGATGTGAGTGAATTTAAGGCCAGCAAAGGCTGGTTTGAGAGATTTAAGAAGCATACTGGCATACACAGTGTGGTGAGGCTGCCAGTTTGGACCACAAGGTGGCTGAAAAATATGTGCATGAATTCAAGGAGTACATAAACAGTGAAGGACTGAAACCTGAACAAGTGTTCAATTGTGATGAAACAGGCCTCTTTTGGAAGAAAATGCCAAAGAGGATTTATGGAGAAACATCACCCAGAGAAGGATGTTGCAAGCCATATCGGCAACTTGTACAGTGACAGAGTCTTGGCCCATTTTAGGGAAGTTTTAAAGAGACGCCAGAAACAGAGCTCTCTGGACAGTTTTTTTGCAAGACAGGACTCCAGTGACTCTCAAGGTGGCCCTAGTGGCATTAAGAAACAGAGAAGAGAAGTAACCCCAGAAGAGCAATTAGTACCCGAGGTGTTGATGGAAGGGGATTCCCCTTCCAAATAGTAAATCCTCCAATCTGTCTCCTTCTCCAGTCTTCCATACACAAAGAAGAATCGCCAAATAAGGTAAGTGTTATTCTGTTAATGTTTAATTCATCATGTGCCACTGTATTGTTTATGTACTGCATCTATATTTCATGTAAAAAAAAAATTTTGTTTTAATACTTCTGGGTATCAGGAACGGATTAATTGAATTTACATTATTTCTTATGGGGAAAATTGATTCGTAAATCGTCCATTTCGATAATAGTCCCACTTCCAGGAACGGATTATGGACGATTATTGAGGGACCACTGTGTGTGGTGTGTGTGTGTGTGTGTGTGTGTGTGTGTGTGTGTGTGTGTGTGTGTGTGTGTGTGTGTGTGTGTGTGTGTGTGTGTGTGTGTGTATATATATATTATATATATATATATATTATATATATATTTGTCAGTTAAAAACAGAGTAGGGGAGTTAGTAGATGGGGAGATGGAGGTATTGGGTAGATGGCGAGAATATTTTGAGGAACTTTTAAATGTTAAGGAAGAAACAGAGGCAGTAATTTCATGCACTGGTCAGGGAGGTATACCATCTTTTAGGAGTGAAGAAGAGCAGAATGTAAGTGTGGGGGAGGTACGTGAGGCATTACGTAAAATGAAAGGGGGTAAAGCAGCTGGAACTGATGGGATCATGACAGAAATGTTAAAAGCAGGGGGGGATATAGTGTTGGAGTGGTTGGTACTTTTGTTTAATAAATGTATGAAAGAGGGGAAGGTACCTAGGGATTGGCAGAGAGCATGTATAGTCCCTTTATATAAAGGGAAAGGGGACAAAAGAGACTGTAAAAATTATAGAGGAATAAGCTTACTGAGTATACCAGGAAAAGTGTACGGTAGGGTTATAATTGAAAGAATTAGAGGTAAGACAGAATGTAGGATTGCGGATGAGCAAGGAGGTTTTAGAGTGGGTAGGGGATGTGTAGATCAGGTGTTTACATTGAAGCATATATGTGAACAGTATTTAGATAAAGATAGGGAAGTTTTTATTGCATTTATGGATTTAGAAAAGGCTATGATAGAGTGGATAGAGGAGCAATGTGGCAGATGTTGCAAGTATATGGAATAGGTGGTAAGTTATTAAATGCTGTAAAGAGTTTTTATGAGGATAGTGAGGCTCAGGTTAGGTGTGTAGAAGAGAGGGAGACTACTTCCCGGTAAAAGTAGGTCTTAGACAGGGATGTGTAATGTCACCATGGTTGTTTAATATATTTATAGATGGGGTTGTAAAGGAAGTAAATGCTAGGGTGTTTGGGAGAGGGGTGGGATTAAATTATGGGGAATCAAATTCAAAATGGGAATTGACACAGTTACTTTTTGCTGATGATACTGTGCTTATGGGAGATTCTAAAGAAAAATTGCAAAGGTTAGTGGATGAGTTTGGGGAATGTGTGTAAAGGTAGAAAGTTGAAAGTGAACATAGAAAAGAGTAAGGTGATGAGGGTGTCAAATGATTTAGATAAAGAAAAATTGGATATCAAATAGGGGGAGGAGTATGGAAGAAGTGAATGTTTTCAGATACTTGGGAGTTGACGTGTCGGCGGATGGATTTATGAAGGATGAGGTTAATCATAGAATTGATGAGGGAAAAAAGGTGAGTGGTGCGTTGAGGTATATGTGGAGTCAAAAAACGTTATCTATGGAGGCAAAGAAGGGAATGTATGAAAGTATAGTAGTACCAACACTCTTATATGGGTGTGAAGCTTGGGTGGTAAATGCAGCAGCGAGGAGACGGTGGAGGCAGCGGAGATGTCCTGTTTAAGGGCAATGTGTGGTGTAAATATTATGCAGAAAAATTCGGAGTGTGGAAATTAGGAGAAGGTGTGGAGTTAATAAAAGTATTAGTCAGAGGGCAAAGAGGTTGTTGAGGGGGTTTGGTCATTTAGAGAGAATGGATCACAGTAGAATGACATGGGAAAACTATAAATCATAGGGGAAAGGGAAAGGGGGGTAGGGGGCGCCCCGAAAAAGGTGGAGAGGGGGGTAAAGGAGGGTTTTTTTTGGGGAAGGGGCTTGGACTTTCCCGCAAAAAGGGGCGTGAGCGTGTTAGATAGGATGAATGGGGACGAATGGTACTTGGGGCCCGACATTTTTGGAGTGTGAGCAGGGTAAATTTATGAAAGGGGTTTTGGGAAACCGTTATTTTCATATATCGGCTTGAGTCCCGAAATGGGAAGTACAAAGCCTGCACTTTAAAGGGGGGGTTTGGGGTATTGGCAGTTTGGAGGGATAGTTGTGTATCTTTTTATTTATGCTCTAGACTTTTTATTTGAGCCCTCGCAAAACAGTGATAATGTGCGAGTGTGGTGAAAGTGTTGAATGATGATAAAATATTTTTTTTTGGGATTTTTTTTCTTTTTTGGGTCACCCTGCCTCGGGGGGAGCGGCCGACTTTTTGAAAAAAAAAAAAAAAAAAAAAAAAATAATTTAAATTATATAAATATATAAATATATATAAATAAATATTAATATTTAAAAATTATTATTAATATATATATATATAATATTTATAATATAATTTTTTTTTTTTTTTTTTTTTTTTTCACAAGGCGGTCGTCCCCACCCAGGGAGGGGACCCAAAAAAAAAAAAGAAAACCCCAAAAAAAAAATACTTTTATCACATTTAACACTTCACCACACTCACACTTACACTGCTTTTCAAGGGCCCAGAATAAACGTTTAGAAGCTATACTTATAGAAACACAACATACCCTCCCAAAATGCCAAAATCCCA